TTCTATAAGGGGTGGGCTCCCAGATCCTACAGGAGACCTTAAGTTTTTTCTGAAGACTCTGAACTACAGAGGCAAGAGAAGTCCAAGGCTATACTTTGAATGACAGCACCCTCCATCCCTCCTCAACCAGATAACCCAAACCCCAACAATCAGTATATTACGAGACACACCAGAGGCAGGCTGCTGGAGGTACTTTCTCTGCAGGTATTAGTCCCAAGGAAGATGTGAAGGTACTAATATGTGGGGTAGACACTTCATAAAAAGTCTACCTGTACTCCAAGGGAAGTCATAAGATCCCCAGCACACATACTCTCTCTCCTGATAAACTTTCCAGCGTCTCACTCTTAATTGCAGACAGCCAAGGACCACCAGATGTTTGTGATGTAAACAAACATAAAAAGAACCCTGAAATGAATAAGCACACTGGAGGAAGCAGAAGAAATATTAAAAACATATTAAACATACAGAAAAACTGAAAAACACATATACACATACCTTGAAAATAATACATCCATAAATAAGAATAAAATAGAAACAGAAAATGAAATTAAATGGAAATGAAACTAGAGAACAAAAAGTTTCTAAAATTTAAAAACACCATCATTAAATTTGTTTAAATAAAAGCTTGTAAGACAAAATTGAGAAGATCCCCCTGCTACTTTCCATGTCCAAATATAAAGATATAAATAAGAGGACATAAGTTAAAAGTATCTGAAGATCAATTCCAGAATATTCAATAATCAAACCAACACGTCTCGAAAAGAAAAAAACAAAAAATAAAGGGTAGGAAATTATCATAGTAGACATTTTCAAAACTGAAAAATATGAGTTTCTAGATCCAAAGGACCTATAAAATAAAATAGATAACGGGTGAACAGATGGACCCACACAAAACCTTACAAAATTTCAGAATGCTAGAGAAAAAGACCCTGAGCTTCAATTAAAAAAACAAAACAAAACAAAAACAAAGAAAAATAAAAGGAATCAGATGGCTCTGGATTTTTCATCAGAGACCCTTAAAGCCAGGGGTACCTGGATGGCTCAGTCGGTCCACTTAGGCTCATGTCATGAGTTCAAGCCCTACATTAGGCTCCACAGTGACAGTGACTGCCTGCTTGGGATTCTCTCTCTCCTTCTCTCTCACTCTGCCCCTCTGCTGCTTGGCCTTGTTCTCTCTCTCTCTCTCAAAATAAATAAACTTAAAAAAAAAAAAAAAAACTTTAAAGCCAGAAACTGTGAAAATGCCATCAAAATTATGGAAAATAATATTTTCAGCCTACTAAATCTAGTTAAATCATCTAGAAAGCATCTATAAATCATCTACAAAGTATCTAGCATTGACACCTTCAGACATGCAAGACCTCAAATAATTTACTTACCATGGAAGCTATTGTGGGCACCCTTTAGCAAAACGAACAAACCAACAAAAAGAAAACAAGTGATCCAGGAAACAGGCTCCAAGGCAGGAGAGAAGGGAACAGAAATCACAGAACAACAATACTACTGTCCAGACTGGAGCAAGAGAATGGAAGGCTCCTGAGCTGGGAGTTTCTAAGAGGAAATGAAGTAGAACTGAGGGATGATTTGTGCTACCTGGAAAAAATATCAGAAGGCATTAAACATGTTTCTAGGAGTGTTTGAGGAACGTAGCCATAGATACATGAAAAACTAATCAAAAACTTGAAGGCAATTATTTGCTGCAGAGAAAACAAAAAAGTACAGGAAAAGAACCCACATAATAATCTGGCATCACTAACTCAGAAGTGAGCAATAAATATATACACAATAATGTAATTTCTGATGGTTGATTTTACTAAAAATTGTTATGTAGCTATATTAAGGGACTGAGACACAGAACAGAGCAAGTGCTCAATTATGAAACTAGGGAGTCAAATCCTTATTCTATATTAATTTCAAAAGGTGAAAGTAAAAAACAGGAAAATAAGTGAACAGAACCAGAACTAGTATGAGACAGTTGCTTCTACTGGAAAATAGGGCCTGGAGGATAAAGAGACCAAAGGCAGAACACTGTGTGTGGTGTTTTATCTTAAACCTTTTAGCACTATTTGATTTTTTAACTGTGCGCATATATTAATTGGCTTAAAATGACACCCTATTCCCATATCAAGGGCAATTACTTCAATTTATAAAGTTGTTACTATCAACTTCACTTACAAGTTTCTTACTTGGAATTCCAAACTTATTGTCTTAGGCTATTATAAAATGATGGTCAGGGCTCTATAGCTCAGGGGTTAGAGCACTGGTCTTGTAAAATGATAGTTTTCCAATTTAGCTTTCAGAGACATTTAACCCATAATGATACAAAAATATGGTACAAACTACTATTTCAAGTAGTCTTAGACACCATTAAGAGTTTCTGTGAGAAACTGCAGTCTGAGAACTCAATATGCCTGGTACAGATCTGAGTTCTCCCCACTTGTTCTTCCGCCCCCAAGAGCAGCCAAGGAATACTTTAAAGGTAGAATGGATAAGGGAGATGGACCTAGATCTGGCCAAGAAGAAGAGTCAAAGAGACTCTGTAACAGGGCAACTCTATGTACATTAGAGAAAATACTACTGGAGGTCACTCTTGCCCCAGAGGTTGGTCAGTGAGACAATCTTCCCTCCCCTTCTTCCCACAGCCCATTCCTGGGCAGAAACTGGATGCTCATCATAGGGGTACAAATATATACACATCATTTCAAGCATTAATTAGCAATGATTTCTTTTCCACCATGTCATAATAAGACCTCTATGTAAACAATATCTTCATTGCATTTAATAAAACTCTGTGACCTATGTCAATACCATGTTTAATTTTTTAATGATTATACATTGTGTGACCTTAAGAAAGTTACTTAAAGCCTCACTTTCCTCAACTCTAAAATGGGAACAATGGTATCTACTTAACTGGGTCATAAGAAAATTAGAGGAAATGATGTATATAAAACATACAGGGGCAGGTAAATGGCAGGCACTCAATCAATGTCAGCCTCTGGTCGTTCCCTGTCCCCCATCCCCACCTGGCTGGCTTCTAACACGTACTCCTATATATAAACAAAGCCACAAATTATATACAGTACATGCTTTTAACAACAGAAAAACCTTAAAAACCATGGATAATGCATTAATTTTTAAAAATAAGTATGTGATATGAGTCGATTTGTAAGTATTCATTATTTTTCCTAAACCTTAGTTTTATGTTCCAAGTACTAACCTAATTTGCAGTTTTAATTCATCTCAACTAAATTTAGCTAATTCAACTAGACTAAAAAGAGGATTAAGAAGGGCAGGACATTACAGAAACACAGCATTCTTCTTTGATTAAAGACTACAAACCCATATATGCAACAATGTGTAAACACTGCTGCAAGCAATACCATTTCAACTTTGAGTCGACCTCAAGAAAGTCTTATAAACTTAAAAAAATAAAGCTTAGAGATAATAGGTGATAAAAAAGAATAATTCCCCCCCCCCCAACACTCTGACACACCACAAACCCGACATTAAATAAAGAGTGGGAGAAAATGTTATTCTGTGCCTCAACACACAAAAGAAAGTCTAACACACAAAGAAATGTCTAGGTATCTGCAACTACCAAAGACTTCCCATTTGGGGCATTTCTACCAGACCTGCCTCTAAAGCTCATTTCTACAATGAGCTCAGCACAAGAACACCATTATTTTTCAAATTAATTCCCTAAACCGACAAAGCTAATTAGGTAGAACAGAACAACCAACTGACCCAAAGCTAAATTCTCCTTTCCCTACAAGGTATTCAAAGTAGGAGAGTGGCTCTGAACAACAGTCCACAGCCCAACACATCTAAGACAAGAACCAAAAAGATAGTGAAGACTAAACAGGTCGGCTACCCAAAGATTCATTCACCTTTTAAAATTATGCTTATCGGTCACAAGAATTGGAGACTGCCACGGAAATGTAGTGCCCTTTCTCCCTTCCCCTCTCCCGCCTCATTTTTTTTTTTAAGTATGATAAGAAGAAAGTTAAGAGCACAGTATTGTGGGCTTTAAAACTACAGCCAAGAATTTGCAGGTTTGGTCGAAATAAAACGTGGACTCGAGGTATCCAAAATCCGGGGTCCCAGAATGACACGCAGAGTAAACGGCCAAAGAAACTTGGTGCGGCAGGGAAGAAAAGTTAGGGCGCTAGGCTGGAGAACAGGGCGAGAAGCTGAAGAGGCTGGCTGTGAGGAGGACGCAACGGGGTGGCTCCCAGGTCTTGCGCGGCGGAGCAGCGAGGGCGTTAGGGGGGTAGGCCGGAAGGCTGACCTGGGGCGGGGGCCGGGCAGGGACCACACCTCCCGGCCAGCATGGCAGGCAAAGGGTAGGACCCGGGGACGACCCCGGGCACTGGGACGCGACCCGCTCGCGGTTCCCGGCTCGCGGACTGGGCCGCAGGCAGCAGGAAGCAACCGGGGTCGGGCCCGACCTGCCCACCCCGGCGCAGGCGGCCCCCACTCACCGATGAGCCGGCGCACCTCGTCCTCGCTCAGGTAGAGGCTCACGCTGGGCCCCGCGGCCGCGGGAGACAGCGCAGGAGGCCGCGGGGCCGGGGCGGCGGCGACGCCGGGCGCGGGTAGCAGCGGCAGCAGCGCGAACAGGAGCAGCAGCGGCGGCGGCGGGGCCCTCAGGCCGCGGGTCCCTGGGAGGCGGCCCCGGCCCGGCGGCCCTGGCCGCGCCGTCCCGCGCATGGCCGCCGCCGCCGCCGCCGCCGCCGCCGCGGAGGAGTGTTGGCCTCCCGCCGCGCTGCCGCCACCCACCCCCGGCTCCGAGCCCCTCACAGCCCCGAGCCGGGGGCGGTCGCCCAGCTCATCGCGCCGCCGGCCCGTGGCAGCCGGACGCCGCTTCAGACCGCCGGAGCGCGCCGCCGCCGCCGCCTCCTCCTCCTCAGCAGCATCGCCCACTGTGGCTGGCCGCGGAGGCGCGCCCGTGCGCGCCGCCGCCGCCCCCGAGAGCGCGCACGCACGCACCGTCCGCTCGGACCTGGCGGCGGCGGGGCAGGGAGCGCCTTGATTTTCTAGTCCTGCTGGGGGCTTGGGGCACTCTAGACACCGTCTAAAGGAGTCCATCCCCATCCTAAGTTGTCACCAGACTGATGTCTGCTTGCCTATTGTCTGTAACACCCTCGGTTCCCCATTCCGCCCTGACGCAAGAGTCCAGGCAGGCAGGCCCGAGCCTCGCCTGCGGCTGAGTGGGCTCCCAGATCCAGGGATATGCTTGAATGCGGCCGTACTGGTTTGCAAAAGAGAAACCTGCTTTTCCTTAGTGAGAAAATGGAGAAAAATGGAAAGCCCTTTTTATCCTACCATTGAAGGTAACAACGTTTCTGTGTCAGTTCCCATGGATAAATACTATATGCATTTATTCTCCAAAAAGATTCTGCTCAGCAAACTTTAATAACCTTATTCTTACACGTTATGAAGCCTTATTTTGCATGATAATTCTGCATCCCAATTATCAACCGTCATCTGGGGTTGTTAACTTGTGGTGCGCGGTAGTGCGTGTCTGTTTCTCTGCGTTTCATCATTTGTTCTAGCGAGTCCCCGTCGCCCAAACAGGTTAAGAACCGCGAATACGCCTTTTCAGAAGGCAGCCGAACCAACCCATGTCGGGGGTGCATTTCTGTGAGCACCTACCATCGCGCTCAAACATGCTCCAAGTGCCCCCTCTCTCGGCTGAGAGTTCCAAGCTTCCCCACCCGGCCGGGTCACCGCGCCCCTGCGGGCAGGTCTGAACCGCGACCCCAGCCAGCTGCTCCAGGAGCTGGCCGGGTTTCAGAGCGCAGTTGCTCCTAGCGCAGTGAGGCCCTGGCAGGCGGCTATTTTTATCCGGGGGGGGAGACTGATGAGGCGGGAAGTCCTGGAACTTTATTTTTCTCGTTCTCTAGGGAGAGCCATGGATTCCATTTAGAGATAAGCCAGCCTGGATTTGTCAAGCTTCAGCCCCCAAGTTGTGCCCGTCATCCTACAGGCCGAGAAGAGGGTGAGAGCTGAAGAAACTTGCTTCACCAGAGAACCATAAAAAACACAAAGGTCAGCAAAAATCCTTAGTTTGGGGCAGCCACTGCCACTTACTAGAGGATCAGGGCTCTGTCGAGAAGAGCTTGAGGCCAGAAATGTGCTGTGTGAACAGGGCTCTCAGTTCAGAAAGGAGGCTTTTTTTTTTTTAAGACAGCATATGGCGTACATTTTGTTTTGTTTTGTTTTTCTTTTTCTTTTATAGTTTATTGTCAAGTTGGTTTCCACATAACACCCAGTGCTCATCCCAACTTGTGCCCTCCTGCATGCCCATCTCCTCTCTTCCCCTCTCCCCCCCCCCCCATCAGCCCTCAGTTTGTTCTTGGTACTTAAGAGTCTCTTATGGTTTGCCTATGCCGTGCATTTTTAAAAATAGTTCACAGTCCCCAAGTGAGGAAGCTCCTATCTTCAAGGCAATCTCCTCATATCAGTGACTTGTCAGGTTGTCTGTGCTGTAGACAGAGCAGGGCTGGCCAGACTCTGGCACGTGTTAATGGTGTAACCTCGGAAACGTTAAACTCCCCAAGCTTCGATTCCCTCATTCATAAAACAGGGGTGATAATGCCAGATTCACAGGGCTTTCACAGGATTTAATTGGAGAAGATGTTGAGTAAAACACTGAGGCCAACACTGGACTGGGTGAGTGTCACACCCATTATCATTGTTATAATGAATCCCTTCCTCGTAATGACCATTTCCTGAATAGTTTAATCACCATTTACCTCCAAACCATTCAAACCAGAGAGCCTCAATAACTTCAGTGCAGCACCATGCCTAGCCCAGAGCTGAGCTCAGTGCATTCCTGCCAGGCATCCTGCTCGGCACTGAGACACAGGGGTAACCGAGGTGCTTCCTTGAGGATGTCTGATAAACACATGTTTATTGTTGCACATTTCCATCAGTGCTGTGAAGAAAAAGTTGGTGGTTCTCAAAGTGTGGTTCCCCAGACCAGGGTACTATCACCTGGCAACTTGTAGGAATGTAAATTCCTTGGCCCCACCCCAGACTAGTAAGTATCAACTTTGGAGGGAAGGAAGATTTAGTATATACATTTCATTGTTTGCTCTAGAGAGTCCCTGTCCCCCAAAAAGCATCCCAGGGCCTCCAGGTGATGCTGACCACTCTGTCAAGAAAACCTCAGCTCTACTACCTCTTTGGACCATGTACTTAACTTGCTGCCTCACTGGCCTCCATGCTTTCTTTCCCCTTACTCGTTTACCCCTTTAAGTCAGTTGTTAACAGGGCAGCCAGAACTATCGTATTATATGCAACCAGATCTTGTTGCTACTTGGCTCTTAGACTGCTAATAGCTCCTTCATTCATCCAGAATGAAAAGCAAAGTCCTTACAAGCTATCAAGGCAGTTCTCACTCCACCTTCTTCCTTCCCCTTCTGATATTGTGTCCTTCTACTCTCCCTCCCCCACCCCACTCACTTAGCTCCAGCCCCAATGGCTTCATTGCTGTGCTTCCAACACAACAGACACAATCCTACCTCAGGGACTTTGCACTGCTCTTCCTATATCTGGAATGCCCTTCCTTCTGATATTCATGTGGCTTCATCTCTTACGTCTTCAAATCTGTACTCAAATGGTAACTTCTAAATAAAATTGTCACCTTCTTAACACTTTAACTCCCCAGAGAACAAACAAATTCCCACACAATGATCCTTCCACAAGCCCCATCCTATCCCTAGAGAAGGAGTCATCCACCTCCCCCCAATCCTCCACCAAGGTGTGGGTAAACTTTTGAAATTCCCCCTTAAGTCTGAGAGTGAAAATGCTGGGAAGCCCTGACCTCAGCCTCCTGAGGTTTCTCTGTGGAGGAAATGAAAGCCGAAATCATCACCCTACTCTACACACTGCCCTCATGCTTGGTTTTGCTTGTCACTGTGGTTGACCTTATCCTCCTAGTCCAGGAGACAAGTTTCTGACAGCCTGGAATATCCTATCATCAGGGCTTGTTTTGCTGTTCCTAAAAAAGGCCAGCCATGGGCTTGAGATCCAGGTAATGGGAGCCCTGGGCCAGTGGAACTGGGCAGTGCTGAGGCGAGGCCTGCCAGATAATGGAAATGACTAGGGTGTTCCATGCGTGGAGTCTGGTGCTCCGCTCAGAGGATAGATGTCTCTGCACACAGAGCCTGGGGAACAACTCCTCACTCTGGCCTTGAGTTCACACAGCTAGGGAAGGGCTCTAGAAAGGGGAGGCTCTAAGTTTTGAAAATGTCCCCTTTATTTGCAAGGAGCAGTTAGATATGCTGTTCTGTATACTATAGAGAAGTTTATTTATTTTTGAGAGAGAGAAGGAAGGACTAGAGAGAGAGGGAGACAGAGGATCCAAAGCAGGTTCAGTGCCATCAACACAGAGCCTGATGTAGGTCTTGACCTCACGAGCCATGAGATCATGGCCTGACCCTAAGTCAGACGCAACCACCTGAACCACCCATGCACCTGGGGCCTAGTTTGGTTTTTAAATGTTCTCTTTCCACAAGTAATATATTAATCCATTGTGTTGTGAAAGATTTGAGCAGCACAAAAGTACACAGGGTAAAATATGAACATCCTTCTTGATATAAACCATCATCTCTGCCCCTGTTCCCGGCTTGGTGTATGTTCTTATATATAAGCCCTTTCTCTCAATATTTGCACACACATACATGTATATGCATATGTATTTAGACACATTTGTGTTTATGTGTGTTTTCAGTTTTATAGAATTGAAATTGTACAAAAGGTAATGGTCACATGATTTGCTATTTTCACTGATCAGAATAAGTTGAGATCTTGAGAATGCTTGCATGACAGAGCATACAGAGGGAATCCAGGGTGTTCTTTTGGTTGGAATGAACCATGACAGATTTCATGGTTCTGATAGACCACACATCCTTGCACATGTATCTTAGTGCATATTGTATATATTTAGAAAGGTAGATTCTTAGAAGTGGAGTTGCTAAATCAAAGGGAGTTACAAATGTTGATATAGATTCTTGAATTGACCTCCTAAAGACTTTACCAATATATATCTCCTCAGCTGGTCCTAGTTCTTTACCTGGTGGGGGTGACCCAAATCTGCTTTCTTAAAGGGTCTGGCCACCACAGTTCTACCTGGATTGAATTTTCATAGTTTGCCATTAACCTTAGTCACAGGGCATGATAAACAAAGAGTCCTCCTAAGAGATCTCATGTACTCCAGACTTACTCTTCCTTACCTGTCTTCTGGTTTTTATTATTTCCATCGGAAAGTTAATTGTAATTCTAAGTGCCACTTTGACACATTGTCTATTCTCTATGGCTGTTTTAAGATTTTTTTAATGGTATTCTGCAGTTTCATTGGAATATATATGAATGTGGATATCTTTCCATTTACTTTGCTTAAAATTTATTGAGAGTCCTGGATCTGGTGTCTTTTAAAAATTCCAAGACATTCTCAGGCAGGTAGATAGGTAGGTAGGTAGGTAGGTAGGTAGGTAGGTAAGTAGGTAGGTGGATAGATAGATAGATAGATAGATAGATAGATAAACAGACAGATATGCGTTTTTTCTGAACCATTTGAGAATAGGTCATGGACATCATACCCACTTTGCTCCAAATACTTCACTGTGCATTTCCTAAGAGCAAGGATTTTTTTCTCTTTCATAACCACAGTGCAATTTTCAAAATACAAACATTTTGCATTGATATAATACTATTTTCTAATCCACAGTCCCATATTCAAATTTCATCAGTTGTCTCAATTAAAGTATTTTATAACTACTTTTTCCTGATCCAGTATCCAGTCCAGAAACACACTTTGCATTTTTTTGTCATGTCTTTTTCCGTCTCTTTTAAAAGTTCCTCAACCTTTCTTTTGCCTGAAGTTCTTGACCTTTACCAGTTATTTTGTAAAATGTCCCTCAGTTGGTGTTGCCTGATATTTCCTCATGATTAGATTCAGGTTATGCAATTTTGACAGGAATATCACTGAAATGATGTATTCTCAGTAGATTATATCAGAAGGCACATGATGTCATTCTGGCCCATTACTTTGACCACTTGGTTAATGTGTTGTCTGATATATTTCCTTGCTGTAAAGTTACTATTTTTCCCTTTGTGATTAATAAGAAATTTGAAAGGAAGATACTTTGAAATGATGTGAATTTCTGGTTCCTACTCAAACTTTTATCCACGAGTTTGATTACCCACTGATGATTTTCTAACTACTCTTCCTTTCATATTTAGTTGGATTCAACCATAAGGAGACTTTTCCCTTTTCTCCTATCTACTTTTTTCATTTATTTATATCTGTATAGATTCACTAATTCTTATTTTATTCAGTGGGGTATAATCTTTTACTATCAATATATATGTTCACCCTCAAAATGTATTTGGGGGTATTTGAGATTTGGCCAGTGGGAGCTTCTTCTGCTGGTTCCTGTGTTCTTTTGATGGGTCTCTAGCACTCATTGAGCATTTTCTTTATGAAACAACAATAGTTGTATCTCCTCTTGTACATTTCTGTTGCAGCCTACAATCAGCCCTTTTTCTTAGGAACCCCAGTCCCTTTTAGTGGAGAATAGTATTTAGAAGCTGAGATTTGGGAACTAGATGTGTTTATCACTACTGTGATATAATTGACTCTAGGACCTCTCAGAAGACGAAGTAAGGAAATAATGTATTTGTGTATGTATATGTCTGTGTACTTATATGTGTGCAAACACACATACGTCTGTAAAATCTATGAATTTAGATAAATACCTCTGATTCCAATCCCACACCATTCCTTCCTCATTACCTATTTGTAAATCCATTCTCCGACAGCAAGAAACCTAACTTCCATTATCTTGAATGCATCTGCTTATTTGCTCAATCTTTCCATTGTTAAGCAAGTTCTTGGCCCTGCTTGCTGAAAGCTCAGACCCAGACGCACCAATCTCCACCCTAACTCCCTATTTTCAGGCATGTCAGCCAAAACTCTGCCTCCATGCAAGGTAAAATGCAGCGGGGTTGAGGACAGAATAGGAGGGGGTCTAGAGCAGCAC